TCAGCCTCCACTTTTGTGGAATCGGATTCTCCCTAACAGCCAAGTCTTGGATTGTAACCAAGTGGTAAGTGAAGAGTGAGCTCCTTGATCACTATTACAGGAAACACTCCGTGGTGGTGGGGGGGGAGGGCTCCCAGTGTCGTTTTGACCATGGGTCAGGAGAAAAGTATGCGCGAAACAAGGAGAAGCCCAGATTTGGGACCTCAGCTTCAGCCTAGGTCACTACTTGGCTCTCAGATGTGTAAATCCTCTAATCTGGCAAAGCTCCCAATTATAACCATCTCAACCCTGCATGGTCATTTGCTAAACTGTGGGCCTACCCCAGAGGGGCTCCACAGGAGAGAGTGTTGTAACTGCTTGGTCTGCCCCTGTCCGATCATTTTTACAGACATTGAAACCACGCACTCACCATATCGGCATTTTTGTCTCTGTTTACACAGGTCTCGCTCAGCGCTATCAGGCATACAGGTGATTCACACGGTATCAGAGTTACGATGAACCATACCACCAACAAGCTTTTTTTTTTTTTTTTACATCTTATCGTTGGTAATATGTACTATGTACAATGTTGCAATGTATAATTTGTTGATGTTATCATTCTCCTGCCAACCCCAAAGACAAAGATTGGATTTAAAAAGACGTTGATATTAAGAGCTAATAACTAAGAAAACATGGTCTTTAACTTACATCAGCATCACCTGCAGTGGAGTCAGAGCTGTCCTCGGTCAGCCAGGGAACACCAGCCCCGGATGGGTCTGTGTGAACCAACAGCTCCCTGCTCTCCGAGGGCTGTTTTTCCTTTGAGATGTTTAAAAGTCAGAAGGATGCCTTCAGTTTGAGGTCTTTTAAAACTGTTGACTTAAGTCTAGTCTTTCCTTTGGCACCCCTGTTTAAGTTTCTATCTGCTTTTAATTCTACGAAGCAATGGGTTCCATCAGTGAAACCATTACTCACTGGCACCGAGTCAATACAGACTTCCAATGACTCTGTAAGGTCTTAATTAATGTTCTCTAGTTCTACATCTTTGGGTTCTAATATCCATTGCAATGGTGATGCAGAAAGTCAGACAAAATTCACGATTAAAGAGTTTATGAAGGAAGTTAACAAGCTGTCATGCCAGCTAGAAATGCTCAGGCTAGTTGTTTACCAGGACATGCTACACAGTTACAGGTCTGCTAATAAATGCCCAAAGGGGCATACCACTCTGCTGTAAGCCTCAAGGCGAAGGCCTTCAGCTCAAGCTCCTTGGGTCAGCAAACCCAGCTCCTTGAGCTAAGTGCCCAGAACCACCTCACTCCATCCAGTTAGCCTCAGCCGGAAAGCACTTAGCCTCACTTCTGGGGGTCAGCAAGCTGAACTCCTGGACTTCTCCACTTGCCCTGTGGGTTTGGAAGTCCATCAATCTGTTCCACTTGGGCTCCTGGTTCTGCTGCTGCTCCTCTGATGGTGCAAGCTCTCATCTGTATCCAGGTTTACTTCTCAGGGATCCCAAGGTCAGAGAGTGACCTCCACTCCTGGTTCTTGCTAGTAATGAGATCCCTCTTCCTGCTTCTCAGAAGGCTCATTTTATACACAGCAGGATGGCATCCAGGGAATCCCATTGGCAATTACTCACAGATTAACCCTATCAGTAGCTTCCCTCACCTTCTTCTACCAGATCCATGTAGGGAAAGGTCAATTTGTGGGAATTAAAGACGTTTGCTATAAGAGTCATATTAGATGACCTGTAGCGTTTCTAAGACTGTAAAACTTTATAGGAGCAGAGAGCCTCAGAGTTCCTCAGAGTCGTGGCTGGTGGGTTTGAACTGCCGACTTTAGGGTTAGCAGATCAATATGGAACCCCCCAAGCCACCACTCAACCAAAAATTACATCAAGAAACCCAACTCCATTCCACAGACACAATCGGACTCCTAGCGACCCTACAGGGCAGCATAGAACTAGCCGGGTGGAGTCTGGGACTTCCGCTCCTTCCAGAAGCAGAAGCAGAAGGCTCGTCTTCCTCCTGCGGGGCAGCTGGTGGGTTCGAGCTGCTGACTTTGCAGTTAGCAGCCAACACATAACCACTATGCCACTGGGGCTCAAGGAAGCCGCCGGATAATAAAAATGACACTGCAAGAGATCACAGTAAGCCTATGTCTGGAGAGTAATGAACAAAATCGTATCATGATAACTAAGGAATTTTCCAAGGACCCAGCCTCCAGGAAAGAGAGTGGACCATTTGATGTGGACAACAACAACAGCACCTGGTATTTTAAAACCTCTCCGTGAATGTTTCGGAGCACTTTCACTATATCCGAGGGGGGTTCAAGAAGTGTGCGGAAAACGGAATGAAAGATAATGCATTTCCCCTCGAACCTTTGAATAATCCTGGCACCTCCCTGAGGAGGGGCTCCTGTCCACGCGGGCGCTTTTAGTTTGCGGCCAGTGGGTCCTGCCTGCTGCCCGCGGGGCCGGGGTGTGATCCCGCCGGAGAGAGACTGCCGTGTCCACCGGTCCTCTGCTTTCAGGCGGAGCGCGTCTGCAGGGCTCACGTGCACGCTCCACATCCACGACTTCGCCTAGAGGCCAGAAGTTCAAAGTCAACCTCACGGAGTTGCACAACAGCAGAACAACCGAGGGCCAGGCGCCCGAGGGCTCAGCCCCAGGAGATGGGCCCCCAGTGGGACTGACGCTCAGCGCGGCTCCAGGCCTGTCTTCCCAGGGCGCGGGCGGGTTCGAACTGCCAACCTTTTAGTCAGTGGAACCGACCACCGGAGCCTCCTCCCTGCTGCAACTCGCGGCTCAGCCTGACTCCCCGAAGATGGGCACGCCAGTCCTCGCCGAATGGCCTGCC